TTTGGAGGCTGAAGGGGTTACACCATTCGCGCTAGGACGCACACATTGCAGGCAGGCAGCTTACTATAGCCAGCTGTACGCAATGGTACACACAATCGGGCAACTTGTAGCTGGTAGATACCCCTTCCATGTAATTTTTTCCTTCACATTCTCGTCATACCTTTAATTTTACTACTTTTTGGAGCCATTTTTCCGTTTTCTTGACTTTTGCATTATTCTGGAGTCTCACTTCCTTATTCTTCTGAAACTAGAGATTCCGAAATCATAGTGGACTCTAACTTTAATCTTTGTGAGTGTACTGGCCCTAGCTTTAACAAAATTTCGGACCTCTATTGAGCTGACCTCTATTAGAATTTGACTTCCAATCTTTGAAAATGGCAAAAAGGTCGAAACGCCAGCTCAAAAGAGTCCTGTAACATCGTGAAGGCTAAAGCCAACGATTTAGAATCTCGTTATGCAAACTGCGCTTCTGAAAATAGCCCCAGCTCTGCCTTGGCGACTATTCCTCCATGTCGGCCCTAATGACGAGAAAAATTTCGGTTAACAGCGCGCATTATCACTTTACGGTATGTTTTTATGGCGCTCCACCTCCGTGTGTTTCGTCGTGTCAGGGTTCAATGTGCTCGAATGTTTCTCTGGCCGGCTTCAGCTTCTTCTGTCCTTTCTGTTCTTCCGCATACGCTGGTCAACTGTTTATCATCATAACTTTGATCGCTATCAGAAATTTTTTCGAAAAACGAAACGGTGGCAGAAAAAATGGTGTACAATCGATGGCTAATCCTAATTTCCACTTTTCCTGAGACACGGGCATTTGTTATCTCAAATGGATTCAATGTTTCTGGACGGAACAGATTTTTTTATGGGTGGAACATTTATTTTGCTTGACAATTAGTCATGTTTGTCGTCCTCGAGGGCCAGAGGGCGCTTTGAAATTTCTTGTCAAGTGACCTATCCCACTCGACGCAGGCCAGCATTTTAGTATTATAGTTCCAAGTCGACCACCGATCTTGGAACAGGGTTAGAATTTCCACAAAAAAATTAGTATGCCAACTTATTTCTACAGTAATCTCGGCTATGGGTTCTGGCTCGAACGTGTACTCGTCATGTACCGCTAGTCCCTTGACCACCCGACCACCCGCCCGTATCCTTACCCGAAGTCCTTTTCGACTGATGAAGGTTAATGTATTGACTGCTCTTATAGTCCGCCGGCCGGCCCGCGAGCGAGCGAGGGAGCGAGCCGACCGGCGGTATCGACCAAGATTAGTTGTAAACAAGTGGCAGGCGTCGCTCCCGGGCGGCGCGCTCGCGGAC